TATGACATGTGTCTTACAAATTCAACATATATTAAAGATCTTATAGAAGATCACTACATAGCTCTTAAGTAGATAGTATATATAGAGGCAAGAATAAAGCCTTCTTTGCTCTTATCAACTCATTTCTTGCTTCTAGTCTAGTTTAAGGAACTTTAGTTTTCTTGTCTTTTGGCAATAGCTATATTAGTTTTTTTTTTTAATTTTATCATCTATCTTTAAAAAAAAATTATATTTTTTTATTTTTTGAATTTTTTGAATTTTTATCCTTGACACTATCCTTTCTTAATTAATTTTTCTAAAAATATCTATAATAATTTCAAATTTATTTTTATTTCTTCAAAGACTAGCATCCATAAATTTTTTTATTATAAAAAATTCAAACAAATCTAAAAGGCAAATTAAAGAAAGATAATCTGCAATCTCTAATATTGAATGAAAGTTTTCACAAAGATAAATAATCTATTTTCTTTAAAGTAGAAAATCTCAATACACTCTCAAAAAAAAAAAAAAAAAAAAAAAAAAAAAAAAAAAACTTTTAAGATATATACTATATATATTATTAATATTATTATTCATGCCTCTATATAAACTACCAAACTAAGAGCTAGGTGGCAACGTCCAATTGGACCTCTAACACATGTCTAATTTGCAAGATATATGTTTTAACTTATAAGGAAAGTTTTCTACATGTGCGCCACATTATTAGCTTATACTATAAGCTATCTACATGTATAAAACATGGTTAACTTTTTGGCCAAGTTTCTAACCTATCAATCAACTATAAACTTGTATAAAGTCAAATATGCATTTATGGAGCTTCTAAAAAGCTTCACCACAAGACAATATCAAATCTACCTTCATTTATTTTCTACCTAATATTTCTTATCTAAATAAATAAATAAATATATATATATATATATATATATATATATATATATATATATATATATATATATATATATATGTTTATGACATTTATCTACTTCTATATATTCATATAATTTAAGTAATTATTAAAACAAAGATGGATGTCTATGATGTCTTGTCATAAAAATAGAAATTTAGTCTTTACTACCCTTTTTTAATTATTTTTTTTAAATATGGCCATAAACATTTTTAAGAATGAATTTAGATCATAGAAAAATTGTAAATTATTTTCCATCAAAGATACAAACCAAGAGAGAATACTTCTGGATAGAAGTACATCTATTAATTGAACTTGAGTAAGACAATTAAGATATTAGAAGGAATGCAACCTCAAATAGAACTTCACTTATTGTAGAAATCCTTGAAATTTTGATCTTGTTCTATTAAATTTTTTTGAAATATATATTCTTACATATTTCATATTTATAATAAGAAGACTTTTTGGATTTAATTTAGAGCCTGATCTACTTGCTTCTCTCAATTGCAAAACTTATTGGCATAGATTATAAACTTTATTATTAATTTCTTCCTTAGATGTAGAAATAATATCTTTATGATTCATATTAATAATATGTGAAATTTCTACTTTAAGAGTGTTGGCAAGCTCATGAAGATTTAGAATAGTTGCAAATCTATTCTCAATTTTGCTAATTATAGCATCTATAATTTTTTCTATATTTATAAAAAATATCTATAATAAATTCATAATTCAAATTGGAAAAGGATAATCCACAACTTTTAATATTAAATGAAGATTTCTACAAAGAGAGATAGTTTACTTTCATTAAAAAAAGAATCAATATTAAAAAATAAAAAAAATATTAATTTAAAGGTGAATATTGCATAACTCTTAAAATACAACAAAAGAAGTGGAAGGATCTACGTACTTCTAAAAAAAACAAGAATATTGAATTAGCACTATTATCAAAATTATTAAGAACATGAATCAGAAGCAATAAAATTTTCAATACATTCATATGTTACCAAAAAAGAATAGATATTTACTCAAATATAATATATTAATATAACTAGAATGCCTATTGCTTAACAAGAAAAGACTAGTTAAGTATGTTTGTGACAAAATGTCATCTTTTAATTATCCATGGCATTTAAAAATTACATGATTGAATCAATTAAATAATATATTAATAGATCCAATTTACTTTAGAATTCATCATATAATATTTAAAAATATTTTATAACCTAAAATAAAGTAAAAAAAATATATTTTATTTATACTTTAGAGATAGTTTTTGCTACATCATGTATTAGAATTGTAAAAATATTACTATTTTCATATCTTGTAGTTTCTTCATTCAAATAATACCTATATGAAATATATTTAATTCATCTAAATTATAGTTTTTTATTTTTTTAGACAAAATTTATATTAAAATCATTTATATTAAACTTTTAAATATAGTTATTATTAAGAATTAGGGCATTCATATTCAAAATGTAAACTTATAGTTGGATTAGCATTCATAACTATAAAAATATTCCTATCTATTTTTAAGATTCTATATTTGATAAAAAAAATACTTTAATTATTGATAAAATCTCAAAATCATCTTACTAAAGCATTATTGTCAATTGAGCTTAAATTTCTAATTACACTACATTTGTGAAATTTTGAATGATATCTTCTATGCAAAAAACCTTTGCATTTGTATTAATTGAAAAATAAATCAAGACAATACTTCTAACATAATTTTATTTTATAAAAAATAATTTAATCAAAGAATTATTACTTTTTTTTTGCCAACTTGTTTAAGTAAAAATTAATCTCACTTATAATTTATATATATATATATATATATATATTTTGAAATTTTTTGTATCTATTTTTTATTAAGAAAAATAAACTATAACAATGCATGCAATTCAATACATGATATATATACATATATATATATATATATATATATATATACATACATATACATACTAGTAATTCAAATTTAAGATTTCCTAAGCATATCCAAAATATAAAGACAAATATTCTAATTGACTTACAAGATTTTCTTTTATTTGTCCATTGACATTATTTTTAAGTAAGAAAATTTTATAGATATCAAAAGAACTAAAATATTTTTTAAAGTCTTATAAAATTAATGTTTTTGAAAAATTAAAAAAATACTTAGTATAAGTATTAATTTTATTATTTTAAAATTATATATATATATATATATATATATATCAGCTAAAGTAAAATTTTTATTTAAAACTATTCATTGATCCTAAAAAATGTGTATATGCATGTACAATTATTCTTTGGATAAGTAAACCTTTGTAAATTAATAACATCCACTAATCAATCAAGATTTTGGAAACTAACTTTATTCTATGGTGCATAATTAATAATTTTTTATATCGAATTTTTTTTATTGGTTTTTGTTAATTAAAAAAGATAAATATTTGTACAATCTAGCTACATATGTAGATGTACATATGTAGTGAGAGGGATAGAGAAAAAAAATGTACGAGAGAAAAAAGAAGATTGGATGTGTAGAAGATGTGTAAAATGTTGAATTGATATTTTTTTAATAGAGAACTATAGTTATCTTCTTGTACTTTTTGCCCAAAAATTGATTTGTAGATATCTTCCTCTGAAAATTTATTAATTAATCAAATCATAATTCAAAACTAACTAATTTATTTTTTTAGAATTGTTTTGATAATTTAAATCCTAGAAGATTTAATACTTTTTTAGAAACAAATGATATTAGTTAATATGAGAAATATTTAACTTTGCAATCACATATTAAAACCATAGAAATAAAATTCAAAAATAAATAAACAAATAAATAAATGTGATGTTGTTCTGCAAGCCACTTTTCACATATTTAAATGTCATTTTTTTTTAATACATGATGGGATTTTATTAGTCATTTCACATCTCTAACAAAAACACAAAACTCTTCATGAACTCTACCCCACAAATCAAGGCATCAAATTCTCACTCATTAAGGCCCAAATTTTATCCCCAACCCTTTTCACACCTGAATACTAATGAACCCACAATTACGCATGCAGATATGTTTCTATACGAAAAGAAGAGTATATTCAATTAACTCCATGTGTACTTATCCATCTCAGAAAAAATAACCATCAACAAAATTTCAAAAACAACACAAAACGAATTCTCGAAAATACCAAACTTCATCTGACGAGAACGCAGAGACCGGAAAAAATAACTTTTCAAGAACCGCCCAACCCAGGATGCTGCCCGCTGCCCGCTGCCCGCTTCCCTTTGCCCGAGAGAAATCGAGAACGGCAGCAAAAGATAAAGAAGCCCAGGATACGGAGAAGATTCCCCGGCCATGCCTGCCACGTACTTCCACTCACTCACCTATCGCCGCGTAGCCAAGCACCGCTAGACCGTGCAAGCTTCATCGCTGGCTATTGCGGCGACCGCACAGGGAGGGAGGTGGGGCGCCGTGGATATGGCAGGGGCATGGTGATCGACGGCGCTGCCTCCGCACATCACCCGCTCTCCTCTGCGCGTCGGGGACCACTACCGATCCCCTTGGGATTTCCCCCTTTTTTCTCTCACGCGCTCTTGTTTCGCTTTCTTTCTATTACCTTCATGACCTGCGATTTAGGGCGCTAAATTCAGTGGTTCGGTGTTTTTGCTTCAACCTTTTAAAGATATTTCCTTATCTTATCAAACATTATCTGGCTTGCTAATGCTACCCCGTTGTCATTGGGGCGAGGATGCACAGGATTTTTTTTTACATCGATGAATTTTGTAGGATAGATTTTTAATTATTTCTTAAACTGCAGTCAGGGAAGCTCTTTTAATTGATATTCATGTGTTGTCTTGAAGAAGAAAAAGAGCATCTACTTGTGAACGATGTGGCAATGATAAATCATCGAAAAGGAACGCTATAGCGGAAATTGAATTTCCTTAGAAAAGATTATTGATGGCACTTCGCATGTGGCGTGTGGCCACCGCACCGATGTGGAGAAATATTGTCATCAATTTTGAGACCGCCACTGGTTGAGTCTCTTTTCGGTCGCGCCATCCATTTCTTTCCGAATAAATCGTGTCTTTACAGCATCTTGGGGGAACCTGTTGGGGTTATCACACTTCAAAGCTCAGTCTGGGCTGTGGCTTAATGCACATGTTGTGCTCAAGTAGCGTTTCTGCGATCCTCTCCCTCTCGGTGCTTCATAGGACGATCTAAATTGATCGTCTGGTTCGACGTAGTGAACATTTTGCTTCTTCGGTGAGTTGGAAGGTTTCTGTGAAATTGTTTCGGGGTTTGTTTGAGCTTTTTGCATGGTCTGATGGAAGTTGTGGAGCGATAATTGTGTTCCTTTGTGTTGGCTGTCTAGGTTGCTGGAGAGTTGTGTTGGTTGTGAGGTGTCGTAGTGGTGCCGGAGGTTGGGTTGTAGAGTTTTGCGGAATATTGAGCTGTGGTGAAGCGAGCAGCTGATTCTTGTGAGGCATTGTGCTCATTCAGGAGTTTGAACCAGGCGTGCTTTTGAGAATCGACCTGTCATCATGGATCCGTACAAGGTGAATTCCCGCTGCCAACGCGATAACCTTGATGCGTGTTGGCGTTGATTGTTTTTTTCTCGATTTTGTTGTGTTGCGTACAACGATCGCAGTTCTCTCGTGGGAATTATGTTAGCGTAACCAGTATTTGTTGCTCTTCGGATTGTGTCATCTGGGACGTATGAGAATTACCTTCTCGTGTTTTTATTGCCCTTCAATTGTTTATTATTTTGAAATTTAGATGTTGGGTTTCAATATGAAACATTCGTGAGTAGGACCGCAGTGGTTTCGGTGTTGATGAGGTCTTGTCTTGGATTGTCTGCATGAATTGAATTGATTTCGAGCTTTGTGAAAATAACGTTTCTTAAAACGTTTATCACAGACCAGTTAGCGGTGCCGCGAAGGTCTTACGTCCGTAGATTTTGGTCGTCTGATTTACATATGATTTCTTATTTGAAGAATGTTTTTCGGCGAGCAAGCAAAAGCATGCTGTGAGATTACGTTGTTTCGTCTGGTTTCAAAATTGTCAGTACTCGAAGGTATTAAAGTGATTGGGAACAGTGATGTGGATTCTGAGAGTTGTATCCGATATAACTTGCATGCTCCGATCAACTGTGGATTTCTCGAGTACTAGTGGTTTTGTGAATGTTTTTTATTTTTTATTTTTATTTATTTTTAAATAAACCTTATGGAGTATGTCTTCAGGTTTCAAAGTTAATCTTTGCCTTTGTATGTTCCTTCATTGAGTAATTTATCTGTGTGATTGAGATACACTTGTGTAAATTATAAACTTACTTTTGAGGGTTTTAATGCTGGTAACGACACTGCAATGTTTTCACGGCTGGATTGAAATAGTGAAGAGCGTGGTGTAGTGTAATCACCTTTGGTTAAGTTGTTTTGGTTTGTGCCAGTCTGACAGATTTATTTGCTTGTAAATGGTTGTTTTACCGAATTTGCTGTGTTTGGATACAGTATCGGCCATCTAGCCAGTACGACACACCATTTTGGACCACAAACCAGGGAGCGCCAGTATGGAACAACAACAATTCTCTCACAGTTGGTCCTAGAGGTAAGCATATTTTCAGTGGGACATTGGTCGAACTAGTGTTGGGTAACTTGTAAGCAATCTTTTGCGGCAGAGTTGTTGAACCATACCTGTTAGGGCACTTCTTGACTACTCTTCTTTTATCCAGGTCCGGTCCTCTTGGAGGACTACCATTTGGTGGAGAAGTTGGCGCAATTTGATAGAGAGCGCATTCCAGAGCGTGTGGTGCATGCACGAGGTGCTAGCGCCAAGGGTTTCTTTGAGGTTACACACGACATTTCGCACCTCACATGTGCCGATTTCTTGAGGGCACCTGGTGTGCAGACCCCGGTGATTGTTCGCTTCTCAACTGTGATCCACGAAAGAGGAAGCCCTGAGACTCTTCGTGACCCGCGTGGATTTGCCGTCAAATTTTACACTCGAGAGGGTAACTTTGATATGGTCGGCAACAACATTCCAGTATTCTTCATTCGAGATGGGATTAAGGTACATCACATAAGGAACTTACACTCACTTTATTGGGATGCAAAGTGAAATGGGGGATTTCCTTCTTTTGCTGCTGAGTGATGAACTTAAGGCTATGTTTATGGTTTATATGGTGAATTAGAAGCCAGTTTTAGTGAACACATGAATTAAGCTTAAGTTGGCGCTTGGAGCTAGTATCCTCACCTAGTGATTTTCCGTCTTCGTTATATTGATGGTGACTTTGTTTTTGTACAGTTCCCTGATATGATTCACGCCTTGAAGCCGAACCCCAAGAGTCACATTCAGGAGCCATGGCGTATTATGGATTTCTTCTCGCATGTCCCTGAGGCCTGCAATATGTTCACTTTTGTGTTTGATGACATTGGTATTCCGGCAGATTATCGCCACATGGAGGGTTTTGGTGTCCACACCTTCAAGGTTGGTTTTGATAACTTGTTCTCACACAGGATTTGTAGACGAATTTCATTTTTTGAATTCTGTAAACGATCTAGTGGGGATTGGGCCTCCCTATGTATGTTGCCATTCTGATGATAATGTGTATTGGCGCAGTTGATTACCAAGGCTGGCAAAGAAACTTATGTAAAGTTCCACTGGAAGCCCACTTGTGGTGTAAAGAGCCTGTTGGATGAGGAAGCCGTTATGGTTGGAGGTGCCAATCATAGCCATGCTACCCAGGACCTCTACGATTCTATTGCTTCTGGGAACTTCCCCGAGTGGAAGCTCATGATTCAGACAATGAACCCGGCTGACGAAGATAAGTTTGATTTTGATCCTCTGGATGATACTAAGATTTGGCCTGAGGACATGTTTCCCCTTCAGGTATGTCTCCCTTAACGTTGGTTTCTTTTCTTTTTCTAGTCGGCAAAAAGTCAAGTGTCTTAATTGGTGGGTGAAGGCCACAGTCAACTGTAACAAGTCCTGCTGTCTTGTGAATTCCCGAGCTTAGCTGAGCTGAGTTCTTGTCAGCTTACTAGTATTTGCGAGTGAATTAGAACTTGTTATAAATGGGTCTTAGATAATGAGTACATGTTTGATAGGTTTTTTTAAGGTGCGAATTAGGCGGTTCTGAAACCCTAAGTTGTGCATTTTGCTCTAGCTCATTTAATTTATATCAGTTGGAACTTCATTCAGTTCATTCGCTTATAATATATGTGAAATTTTGGTGTTGCACGCAGCCTGTGGGAAGGATGGTGCTGAACAGGAATATCGACAATTTCTTCGCTGAAAATGAGCAGCTAGCTTTCTGCCCTGGTGTTATTGTTCCTGGAATCTATTACAGCGATGACAAGATGTTTCAGACTCGTATCTTCTCTTACTCAGACACTCAGCGCCATCGCTTGGGTCCTAATTACCTCATGCTGCCTGTTAATGCTCCTAAATGTGCACACCATAACAACCATCACGAAGGTTTTATGAACTTCATGCATCGTGATGAGGAGGTAAGTGTAGCAATCATCCTACTTTTTGCAAAGTTGAAGACTCAGAATTTGTGCTCCAACTAATTATTAGCTAATTAGTTTTACTTTTCCCTCCGCAACAATGCATTGTTCAGTGTATGTGAATTTTGAAGCAAAATATCCCACACTGATATTAGGAGATTATTTTTATATGCAGGTGAATTATTTTCCGTCACGATTTGACCCCGTTCGCCACTCAGAACGCGTTCCAGTTTCACAGAGCAGACTCTTAGGAATCAGGGAGAAGGTAATGCTTTGTATATAGTCTATTTAATGGATATTGGTTTAGAAATTGTTTTTGATCAATCTAGGCATACTTATTTTGGTTTTGTGGAACTAAATTGTATACTTCAAAGCCTGTGAAAAGTTACACATTGAGTTCTGGAGTTTAAAGTTATTTATGGAGTGTAAACTTATTATGGCAGGCTGTCATTCATAAAGAGAACAATTTCCAACAACCTGGAGTCAGGTTCCGGTCCTTTGATCCTGCTAGGTACGATTTTTTCTTCCTTGATCAACGTTTGAAATTTCTTGTACAAAATTGTTCTTAGCAAGTGTGATATATCTTTGCTGCAATCGACAGCTACAGTGACCAAGTGAGTTGAACGTGAAGGAATTGACTCGTGCTTTGGTATTTCTACAGGCAAGACCGTTTTATTAAGCGCATCATTGAGTTGCTATCAGACCCCAGAGTGACTCATGAAGTCCGTAGCGTGTGGGTTGCGTACTGGAGCCAGTGTGACAAGACATTGGGCCAGAGGATTGCCTCACACTTCAGCATGAAGGCAGCCATGTAGATACTTATTCTACTTTGTAATTATGTCTACTGGTTTGCGATATTATTATGGATTTGCTAGGAGGTGGATGATGGCCTGGTGTGCAGGATGTGGGGATGCATCTGGTGGGAAAGTTCCAGTGCAATCTTGAACTAAAGCTTGTTATGAACAAGTTTTAACATGAACACCGTTAATCTTGTAACTGGTCTGTTAACAAATTTCGAAGTCACTGCGTTTGGATTGTTCTGTTTCCTAGCATAGAACCTGTGTACGGCGGTTGCGATGTAGCGAAGCAAATCCATTCACATTCCTAGCAATTGCAGACAACGTAAAATCAAAATTTGTGATTTCCTCTTAAGTTATCAAATCTCCAAGCCAGGAATATTCCGTTACGCAAGTACAACTAGAAAAACCAACCACTCGAGTCAGGTGATTTCAAGCAGGGGCCAATTAAGTGGAGCTCTCAGAATCACCCTCTCGAAAAGTACTCCGACAGCTTTGCAATTACTGGTTAACCAGAATTCGAGTTGGCTACTACATGGCACAATCGTTGTACAAACTCTATTTCGCAGTCCAGCTTAGTAACTTTTGAGCAAAGTAATGCAAACAGTTGCAAAAAGAGAGAGCACTCCGATGTCGATACACAACGTAAATTAGTTGATAAGACCTACAACTCCAGTTGACAATTCATGCTCACAGTTGAAGTACCTTTTTATGCAGCATTACTTCATCTTTAAAATAACCAAACAATGGTTTAATTCTCCATTAAAGCAGGACAATTACATCGAAAAAAATGTTTTAAGAAGTTTCATGTGTAGCAATGATCAAATAGCCGATTAAAAAGTTGACGATATTCACTATTTGTTCATTCATTGAAATAAAAATTTCTATAAATGGCATCAAATACTTACGTACTTGTCTCTAACACTTTCTATTTTATGCATAATAAGTTTTTGTTTTATGAAACTAGAAGTGAACAATTAAGGACGACAAATTTAGGCGGAGTAAATGACTTTTGGGTTATCTTCACATCCTCAATTAATATACTGCTAAAATTGTACTTCATCTTATCCTGCTAACTAGTAGCATCCTCCAACGGATTCTATGCCGTCTCTCTCATTGGTTGGCTTTTAGTACCTCTTCATTCTATGCTATCCCCTACTGTTCCAACAGAAAATTTTCAAATTTGAAATAATCCCCAGATGCACAAATGAAAAGCATTCCACGAAAAGCTTTTAATCGAATAAGAAATCGTCGAGTTATTAACGAATCACGAGCTATACCATAGGTCTGCTGCGGCAGGCCTACGCCATCAATTGTGGTAAGCTGGAGTACTCCTCAAAATTCCTTCCGTCTTATCATTTTCCAGTCCACGGTAGGAAATAATTAGATGGAAGCAGAAAAAGTACGTATGTTTACACAACGTACTTTGTTAATTTCACAAAAATGCAGTAGATAAGGGATTTTAGGATGTTTCTGAAAACTATTTGCGAATTAGAGCTACATTGTTTCGCAGGAGTATGAGGTACTCAATTTCTAAATCAAAAGAGAACTTTCCTAGCTGCTCAAGTTAACAGCCAATCTGAGTGTAGATAGAAGGAGAAAAATACACCAGTTAGATATGATAGGCTGATAGAACAGCACTGCACATTTCAGCTGCATTTGCAAATGACGGGACAACAAAGAAGCCATCATGAATTCGACGTCAACTTGAAATTGAGAAGATTGATGATTGGAACATATTAAAGAAATCTAACCTAAAGTATATCCTCAACGTCAGATGAGGATTGAAAAAATATTAGAAAGATTGCGAACTGTATACAGTGGAATAGAGCACCTGGAAGTCTCGTCTGGTAAATGCGCATTCATTAGCAAGGTTAGAAAAGCTCATCTAGAACTGCCCCCCAACTTTCCCCGTCCTTTCCGTATAGGTTGCTTCTTCTCAACATAAGTAGAAGGAAACCATCCGGATTGACCGTTGCATTGTCCCTCCGACCATCCAGATGAAGTGACCTGGCGTACCAGGACCTCATCACCAACTGATATGGTAAGCTCTCCCTCATCTTCTCCAACAAAGTCATGTGTTGCAGTGGCATAGAAGCTTTTGGGCTCGGGGGCAGCAGGGACTTTCCCAGCCTCAAGTGTCGGCTCCTTGTCCTCATACCCTCTGTTACTTCCGTTCACAACGTTGTAAGATGGCTCTGGTGGATCCACAGCTGCCTGCCTCAAGGGATTTGAAGAGGGTGTTTCCGAATAAGAACTTTCTACAATGCGCCCTTCTCTGTGTTTAGAATTATGAGAGTCTCCGTTCCCGGAAACCGAGGGATTCGAGGATTTTTTTACCTCTGACTCAATCTCGTGATGTAATGTGTCCAGAATGCTGGTGACACGTTGAAAATATGCTCTCTCAGCCTCAACCATAGAGAGCATCTTGTGGAGAGTTGTTTGCTGTTGTTGGGTTTCAACTACGCTCATAGCAGATGTGGCGTTCTTTCCCATGGTGTTCATTGCTGAGATGATTTCATCCAGCTTCTGCTCAGCTGCTCGCAATTTGGCAGCGTGTTCTGGATTGCCGTTGGCGTCTTTGGTCTTCCTCTTCTGAACCTCGGAAGCATGACTATCTACGCTTTCGCGCAGACGGTCGTACTTTTGTTTCAAGTGCCGGGCATCCTCTAAAGGTGAACCTTGCACCATCGCCTTCAAAGGTTCTGCCACCTGCAAGGATATAACTCGGTGAAAGTTTTCCCGCTCTTTCTCCATCCTACCCCTTGCCGAACCATAGTGCTGTGTGGCCCTTGAGAGAGACTCCGTAACACTGGCGCCCTCCAACCCATACTTAGTGCAATCCTGTCCAAACCTGATTTCGATCTCGAGTTGCCTTTTACCTGTACTCACCAAGCCCTCAACCCCCTTGACAACATCTTTCTGAAAATGCTTTGCAGCCCTAGTGGACGTGTAGAGCCTCTCCAGCTCCTGATGAGTTTGTTGATGCTCAACTTCATCCAATATTGAGCTACCACTACCACCGCTGAACTTTCGGGGCAGGTGGAAATTACCTTTCAAGAAAGCCATTTTTCGAGACTGCAGAAATCAGCCCAAGCATCACCTTCAAACTAACAACTTCCAACTGTTCAAACAAGAAGATAAAAAAATCAGATCCTCTTCAACTTTCATATCGGTTTGACCTTTAAAACAGGACCTCCAGTGGCTGGAAACTACATTAAAAAAATAGGACTAAAACTTCAACAACTAAACATAGTGCCGTGGGAGTTTGTCACTGGCGGCGAAAGCAACCACTTTCGTGCTCAATCCAAAGTAGAGTGGAATGCGTAAAACATCCAGGAGATTGAAGATAAAATAAACCATTAACTACTTTTGAAATCATTGATAAATTACAATTTCTCAGATTTCGTTACCAACAATGTTCTCGAATTTCCAATAATTCGTTTTTCTGCTGCAGTTGAAATACGAAGTGCGCACTGTGGAAGTTTGGACTCCGTGACGAAACCCAAGATTTCAAATTACAATTATCCTCAATTGCGCTTCGCGGAAAGGTCGCCATTCGCGACTCAGTTCTTTTTGCGAACCAAAGTTTCAAATGAATACAAGCAGGTGCGAGTGCAACGAAATGAGACACGAACACGCCTATCGTGTTAAAATTAGCTGCCAACCGGAAATACAGAACTGAAGCTCACTAAAACACGAGCTACTGTCGACAACGGGCTACACGCGCTTCACCACTCAGCTGACCAGGACCCAGTTCTTAAAAACATACCAACACGACGCTCACACTGGCTAACAGCCATTGTGAAAAGGATCTACTGAGCACAACCCACAACCAAAAGCAACGTCTCAATGGAAACTCACCCCAGATAACGCCCTCGGCACAAACTGCAAAAGCTTACGAAACCCCAGGATCTCGATAAACCAGAACCCAACTCCCCTCCCTACTCGAGCTCCCTCAATCCTGCCTTCTCGGATCCGCCGATCCAGCCAATGCAGACACACATTTCCGTGAACCACAGATCTCCAGCGCCTCGCGGAGCTCCCGCCCGAACCCTCCTCACCTTCGCCGACGCCGAATCAAGCGCTCCATCGGCGTATCTCCACACTCCACACTACTCTCTTCCTCACACTCTCTCTCTCTCTCTCTCTCTCTCTCGCTCTCACTCACTCACTCTCTCAGAGTGCAATGTCACAGACGAAGGACGAAGAGGAGGAGGGGGAGGAAGAGGCTTCGTCTTGGATGAGGAATCCGTGGGCACCCACCAAAACGCAAAATGCAATGGCGAAAAAAAGGAAAGCGGACAGTGGAAGTGAAGCGAGGGGCACGGAAATTCTAAGCGAGGCCTCTCCTTTCTCCAAAAGAGCGCACGGACCCACTCACGTCATGTCATGGGCTTGGCTTGGATTAGGGTTCCGGGGAGTTGACTCCCCCCCCCCCACCCCTCACGCCTTCCCCTGCACATTCCTGACCCTGTTTTCCCATGCAACACGGACTTGCTTGCTTACGTGTCCATATTACTATTGTCTATGTGGCAATAATTGTGGTGTTGCGCATTTTCTTGCAGTTTGTGGGTCTTTAGATCTAGAAGTCCATTTGGAAAGGTCATAGTTCAAAAGTGTTTTGAAAGCCCACCGTTTGGTGAGGAATGTTTTTTTTTGATTTTGTGAGGAAATTTCTGACCTTGAAGACTAGTGCAAAGTGAGAGTAGGCCATAATATGGACTATGTTGTTTTTGAATTATGATTTTAAATATAATTTTTTTTTTCTTGTAAAACTTTGAATAATAAAATAAAATAAAATAAAATGAGAAACTTTATTTTACTTTTTTATGTAGATTCTTTTAGCAATTTGAATATGATTCTTTTTAAATTTTTGAAAAAAATTATGCATAGAATGGGTTAAATACAAATTCCAAGAAACACTATTTGTTCTCTTAGATGTTTTATCTAAGTTTAAAACCAACTAAGGAAAGCTTCTTGATTTCAACTAATTACAAGTTTTGAAAGTTGAAACCTTTAGCCTTTTCTTCTAAACATTAAGTTCTCCTAATTGCACCTTTTGTATATAGATTTAGACCTTTTAATATATTTGGTATAATGGAAAGTTCATGTTGAACATTAAGATTGTGGATTATTTTATATTTTTTTAATTTAAGAAAGAAGAGATATATTGAACATACATATTGTACACAACTTGTTTTTAATATTAATATTAAGAAATGTGGCCAAAAGAATTAGATTCTTTTGTGTATTGTTAGTAATAGGAGTTAATGATTATAATGCAACATGTTTATTGTTTAATATATATATATATATATATATATATAACTTTAATAGTTTTTGTGGTATGATAATATTTTTTTTAATTAAGAGATTTATTAATAAAAGTAATATGTATATAATATATCCTATATATATATATATATAGAGAGAGAGAGAGAGAGAGAGAGATGTTAAAATGACCCACCTATTTACTAAATCAATCCATCCTATTGTGGGGAACAAGGAGAGTTGTGATGAGAGCTAGGAATGGAGAGAGATGAACATGGAAAGTTGGGATGGAGAAGATTGGAAATAGATGGAGCATGAGCTGGAAACAAGGGGGGTTAAGTTAATAGCTATAATTATAATAATGGTTTTTGGAGATAATCCATTTTTCTAATGATGGTTATGATAGGGTATGTTGATGCAATAAATGAGCATGTCATTTTAACATTTTCTTATATATTTTTGAGTATTATAATATATTTTTATTTTATTTTTATTAAAAATATTTTCTTTATTTTCTTTATTTACATATAAAGCTGAGATATTAAAATTAAAATTTGCAATTAGCATTTTTTAGAAAAAAAATAATCCTTTTTCATTATTTTTTGATTGACATAATAGAGATAAAGAATGTTATAGCAATCAAGTCAAAGAAAAAAATAGATCTTTAAGTTTTTAAAATATTCTATTATTTATAATAAACATAATTATTTTTAAAGATGTAAAAATAAGAGATCTATGAATAAATGTACCAACTCATAATATGTTTTTGTAGAAAAATAACCATAGATTCTTATTTATAATATTAAAAGAGCCACAAGTATACTTTTTAAAAAACTATAATATGAGATTGTTCATGTAGAGCTTCCAAAACATCAATTATATATTTAGTTATATATTCTTTGCAACCTTTATATCAAAATCAAGGAGCTATAGATAAAAGTACATATTTTAATATAGTTTGGATATGCTATTACCAAAAATAATATGATTTTTATTTTTTAATGACTCTAAAGAGAGGGAAAAAAAAATGAATAGTAAAAAAAGATATATTCATTGCATTGTACAAATTTATATTTAATTGTGTACAATTCAATTTTAAATGGATTTTTTAAAATCAAGATAAACAATCACTTTCAATACACATCTATTATATATATATATATATATATATATTTATTAATTTATTATCAAGTGTAAATTAAATATTCATAATTTTTCTTCTTTGGAATGTTTTGCAATTTTTATTAAAAAAACGGTTTTGTTTGCAACTGTTTTTTATTATTTATTTATTTATTTATTTTTCTTCTTCTATTATTATTATTATTACTATCATAATTATTTATATTAAAATAAATTTCTATCTTTACAATAGACAAATTATTTACAACAATCTCTATTATAATCAAGTATAGTGTTCAACTAAGTAGATGCAATATCTTGTTCAAGTATAATAAAGCTTCAACCTCAAAATCTTATATCATTCTTTAAAAAATTTAATGATGATCATAAAGCAATTTGGTTTTGGATGCTAATTTCTATGTAGATTTTATGTATTAATGATTCTATAATTTCTAAAATCCATCTCACATAAAATATTAAAATAACTTAACAACAAAATAATTGACGTCATTCAATTATTTATAAAATTATTTAAAAAAATTATAACTAAAACCTACTCTCTTTTAAACATCTTTTTATTACTATCTTTTGTGTGATTTGTAGTGATTGTGCAAATAAAAAAATAAAAATGCTCTTTAACTCTTATCAAGCCTTTAAATTAAATTTTAATTAATTTCTACAACAATTGTTTACCATAATGCTCAAATATTTTGTTGATAAAGTATAAAATCTTACAAAAGAAAAAAATCATATTAAGAAATATAATAAAATCTACAACCAATATCGAAAAATGATCTATATGTGCAAAATATCAATAATAGAGTAAGAATATTTAATAGATCAGGTTTTATCCTTTTTTTTCTTCATCTAAAAATCATTAAGGATAACACATACAGTTTGAATCTCAGTAGATTTTTGCATCTGAATGACAATTTTCTTCCATTTCAAACAGTTATACAACATTGCAAGGCACAAATCACGTCCTATTCATTGAAAAGGGTAAACTCAAACATGGTACATCCTGAGAGATTGCGTTGAAAAGCTTGAAACCATTATAGGAAGTTATCAGAGCAGCCGTAACGGTCACCCTTGAAGTTGCGGAGAATGTCAAAACCAAGAATTTATAGAAAGTTGAGCAGTATTCATTCACTTGGAAAATGTCTGTATATTGCATTAGAAAGAGCTCATTCGCTGCAATCACCTCAAAGGTCGAAGCTGGAACTCAACAACCCCTCTGTGTAGCTTCAGTCCAGCCCAACATATTCAAAAGCGATTTTTAAGCTTCGTTTAGTTACTTGGATGGTCATTGCTGTTCAATTGTTCAATGAGAGAGTGGATCAATGGCATAAAAAACACATAACCTGCTCTGCTTTCTATGTAGTATAAAATGAGACGGATAGACCATCTTCTAAGTCGAGTTGGCCATGCAGTTCCAATCGGAAATCGACTAATCTCCAATCGTCATACCAAACCCAAATTTGTAGTTTTTCCTAATATGGTCAAGCTGCAACAAGCATGCTACAGATTAGCTGATAAATAAACATTTGCAAGTGTCACTGGTGCATTGAGAGGCAGAAGACATTGCAGCACGCTGGTTCATAGTCGACCAAGACAAAACTTTATCTGATAGAGATTTCACGATAGCGTTTTGAAAAACAATAAGATTACACCAACTAATGACAAATCTCTTCATCCATGCATTCCACGACCAGGTTCTGGTATTCTTAATTTCAAGTTCAGGAGAATGTAAGCTTGTCGTTACAAACCAAAGATAAGTACGTCTGAACGTGTTAAGTGAATGTTGACTAACCTCCGCAGAAAGCAAAAAAGTAAGGCCAGATGTTAACTTCTCTTCCAAGTAAGCTGTTGTGCAGTAATTGGTGTTTACCCTGCCTCTCAACCGACACTGCAAACAGACCATAAGTTGCATTAGAATGTGAGCACAACTTAATCTACCATGCGTAAGATGGATGATGAGTGATGTAATTACGAATCGTACGAAATCTATCTCCTAATGAGACGACTGATATTTCTGTGTTGAACGACAACTCTGAAAGAGATTACCTGCCGAATGAGATAATCAAAAGCCATACTGGTATTTGCCTCCCTGCTATTCCAATTGTACACAAAGTCCGAAGCCACTGATAGCTGAAATAATCAAACGATTTAAATTAAAAAACCACTGTAGTTTCTCTTCATAACACTAATGTAGCCAGAACATCCAATCTGATCGAAACTCATTGTTCATGTCAATTCTCAACCTCATCCCCAGGTTGTGATTACGTGGGTACCAACCATGGCCAGGGCAAAAAATAAACCCTTAACCCCACCTAGTGGATAGTCCTCACAGTTCCAATCAGGATATTTGCTTTGTTCTGTAGATATGAGATGTCCATCTTGGTTGAGCAACCCTCACGGATGTTGATGTATGGCAATCTATCCAATTATAAGAATTGATCATATCTTACAAGTCATGGACTTCCTCTTACGCTACGACATAATGTAATCGCTAGAGGGGAGGAACTGCAGCAATTTTGATTTAGGACCGAGTCGCCTAATCTTTACCGCTCAACTCTTGTTGTGCATATTGTCGGCTCTTTAACTCTTTCTACAACTCCTTAGCACTTCATTTTGATATTAAGTGATTTTTCTAGAGCCAAGCTTTTGATCTTAAACGTACTGAACTTCTTTCTTCACACATATGTTAACAGCGTGGCAATAGAATTAGGTCGAATTTGATCCTCGCGCCTCTCGACCATGTGAGGAGCAAGTGGCAAATTTGGTATATTACACGGACTGCAACTAGAGCCATTCGAGGAGGAAATAGATTGTACAAACATGGCACTCGGGCTACTATCGGAACACGGGGTGGACACACAGTTTTGACTGCAGTAAATCCTAACAACCCCAGTTGATAAGTGAGATAGTCATCCAAATGCAGGATCCTGGCTTTATGAAACAATTGATGAATTATTAATTGAAAAATTAAATGCTTGTAGGAATCAAGATGTTACCTTGTCGGACAATCTTTGAACATAAGTGAAGTTTATTTGACCTTCCGATTTCACGTGACCTGTGCAAATCTGCACGCCAATGTTGTGACAATCAGAGAAGATGATTTGCCACAATTCAAGCACTACCAAATCGGTTCCAAGATGTGAGAAACTAACCTCTTTCTTTGAGTTCTTGGTTGTTTTTTAATCAATGAGATGACAGCCTACAATGCTGAACTAACCTGATATTTCTAATGTAGTCGAAAGTATATGAACTGGTCAGAATTCAAGGGAACTTGGGTGGAGGATGTGGTGATGGAATAACCAATTCCACTGAAACATCTAAATTGCTCAATCATAGAAGATTGGGTACCTCATTGAAGATATCAATGTGATACGTAAGACCACTACTGTTGAAAAGCAAGGGCAAATTAGCCAAAAAATGGTTTTTTGCACGCGGTCTTAGACACAGCTACCTTACCACAGTATCAGCTTTATAGCGAGCTGCAAGACCCATGCTTGATTTCCGTTGATGACCGAGCCAAATCCCTTCCCCTCCAAGTGATAATTTAGGCGTTACACTCTGCTCCACCACTAATCGATAGTAGTCAAGGCCTTATAAACTTCACGTATAAATTGCAAATAAAAATAATCTCAGATGTCATAGCTGGACTGCTTATGATGGACAATCATCTGTAAGATAGAAAGGTACAAATCGACTCCTCACCGCTCCAGTAGATTAGAGACAAGATGCCTTGACTGACTGGCATGTAATTTGAAGATCTAGTGCATACCGAGATGACTGAAGGAGAATAATTTCTTCATAGAGCCGCTTTTGTGATTAAAGAAAGATGTTGGAACTCACCTGCATGTAATTAATACCGTAGTAAGCATTATTTCCCATCGTCAGCCGAGCTTGATAGTCATATCCCTGCAACAATTTTCATATGAATGTGAACAGAAGCTGATAAACAAGAACAATCTTTTAAAGCTTTATGGAGACTGCCAATAATCGACGTGCATTTTACCCGACTTGAAGCAATCATTTCTCCATTGAAGCACTCTCTATAACTTATATCACCTCCCACATTCTACATGGCACTTTGCATGACATTTTACTCCCTTACTAAGAATCAGAAATTCAATGTGATGCAATGCGTTGAACTTTAGATATATTTATTATTTTAAATGACTTTCACAACAATAGATACAGCTAGAGACCTTGTAGTCGAAGTTGAACATTCCGAGCGTAAAATGCGGCTCATTTGTAAGCTGGAATGTACAAAAATACTGTTAGAAACTGTACGGAATTAGGTAGGATTTACATCAGAACGAGGGGAACAAGCGGTGGATTGTTTTCGGAATAACTAGAATATCTGGTAAATGGTTTAGCTGAAGATGCACATCTTCAGCTTTCTAAGCTGCTCCATAGCATATTAAGAGTATTAAGAATATTAAGAGACCATTGACTATGTTCAATCCGTGCTACATAGCACGATGCACACAAAGTACAAGATGGCCTTTACAATATCTTGTATGGAGTTCTACTGCTTTTGTAGTGGAAGAGAAAATACGATCGTATTAAAAAACAAACCTGGGCATCGGCTTTAATGGAAAACCGATTGTTGACATCATACTTCACTTTAGCTGACAAACGTCCCTCCGACAGAATACGTCTCATCACCAAGACTACGTCCATCTTGCCCTGCAACTTGCAAAAGAAACAGCTTAAGTGCAGCACAACTTCGAAATACTTAATCAAACAATGTGTTGCAATATTTGACTTTTTTCTTTTTATCGAATAAGTTAATTATCAACAAACAGTATCCAACTTATCTTCACCTTTTGATCAACAAGATTAGCACCAACGTCGAAGTGACCGGTTGATTGTTTTTGTACAGAGCCGCTATTACCGGGAAGGTCTATCAAACCCATGAACACTCTGCGTACCAAATTTATTGCTTCTTTAATATATAAGAAAATAAATGAAAATATTGTGCACGAAGGATAACAAAGTTGAACCATATACTAGTAACTTGATGTGATGTTGGAACATTAAGAGAAGAATCTTAATTCGTAAGTGATTAGCAAAGGTGAAAATACCAAAACACTTGACAACTACGGGTCTCTCAGAATGACGTTTATCAAAAAGCACGTCTAAGCGATTCTTTATTATAAAATCCAAAAATTTATGCAAATAATTCGGATGATAAGCTATAGCAAGACGTCATACAAAGAATCATATCGCAACATTGGTTGGGGATGATGGCATGAAGTGATGATTAGCAAATGGCATGAATACAAGAACATGCACGTTAATATGTTCTTAAACCAACTTCAACTGGAGATCCTCACCTATTGCTCATAGCAAACTTATTATTCACCGCCCTGGAAATGTCGAAGCGCAAGCCTTCGAAGTGTTCAGGCTTCAAGGACACTGAAATCGCAGACACTCAGTTCATCAAACAAGATGTAGGAATTGCAAGTAAAATTTTGTTTCAATGTCGATCATGGACATAACAAAGCTCGACTGTGTTAATCAACTTGTTAGATCAAACTGAGGTTTACAATGTTTGTAAAGGATTGCGTACTGTGCTCACCAAGATACTTCAAATAAAGTTTCATAGTTTCACCTGCTTTTCGAAACTAATGACCACGAGAAATCCAAACCAGATCACATTTTATTTATGTCTATAGACTGTGATGAAAATTTTACAATGAACCTGGAATAAAATAAACTGTATAATACCAGTACTGGCATTCAAAGCAGGAGAACTTACTGTACGCTTCGCGCGTGATCTCTTCGTACATTACAGGGCACGGCAAGTTCGTGTACTCAGGAAGTTTTATGTCATCTCCACACACGGCGGCTGTCAAGGCATGATGAGGGGAGCAATAGCTAATAGCTGACCCCATCCTTACTTCACCTTGTTGCAATTCAACAGAACCACGTAGAATTGTTTGACCCTACCACACTATGTGACTGACTCGTATCTGTTTGTTTTATATTGCAGATCCTGGAGAAGGGAGCCAATCTTTTCGAAGAACTTCATCTTGCCGGCTCTAAAAAACCAACATGAAAACGATCTTCTGCTCCAAACAATCCAGCATCCTTCCTCTCCATTGAATGAAATGAAAATCCTCCCTGCTTCCACACAAACTTCGTGACACCAACAGGACTCTCTTCCTACATTTTGTGGCCCTAGATTCAAGGCATGGCCACATTTTCCTAGCAAGTCTTCTTTGAGAGTCCTAACGTAGCAGACCTCGAGACAGGATATGATGTCTTCCAAGAGCGTGGGAATATCGTGCGATAGGTATAAGAACAGACTCCCCAATTATCTACAGTGAAGATTCAGACACTAAGGCACAACGCTGGCATCTGATGAGAAGCATTATGAGTCGAAAATCTCGATCTTGATTGTAAGAAAACACTTCAAACTCCATCCTCGGTCTTCAGTCTATCATCATTCCAAAATTATAAAATGTCATAGGTAAGCAATCCTTGATAAACAGTACGCACGATATCACATGGTACACCCAATGAGTGAGCGAGTTCAGGGTGGGGGAAAGGGAGGGGTTTTAGGGTATTATCGGGGTGTAGGAGAGAAAAGAAAAAGCACGAACAAGGTTCAAGGTCAAGAGGCATCATACTTGAACCGCTGCAATCCTTCCCCTTCTTTTCTCTTGGTGGAGGCTCTCGCGTTCTCCGAGCGCTCCCAACAGAAACCGACTCATGGAAGATTATCGCCTATAATTCCTTATGTTCCTTGTGTGGATTTAATTGGTTAATTTCAGTACACTTAAGCTGCTGCTGACTTTTCAGAAAGATCATCCCGTTTCCCCCAGGCAACTTTTCCAACCGAATGCAATTTTTCGTGATGCACAACACGTGATTCTACATAGTCACGTCTGTGCTTATACTTCTTACTAAATAGTTACCAGCCTCTTATTTTATGGATGCAAGGGGCAGATACAATGAGCAAACATGTCACTTGACCACATACTATTTTAATCCCACAATTTCGTTTTAAGTATTTCTGTGATGCTAAAGAGGATCAGTGGGTGTACGGTTTGGTTGCCATTTTATTCCGTAAGCGTACAGAACTCCAACTGGACAATGCTCTCAAACCTGCCCCATCACCAATGCCAAGTTGTGGGGCCCTCTTTGTTGTTCAGCAGAACCTGTGGTAAGAGTGCAGCTGACACGTCAAAGATGAACAAATTGAGAAGTATGGACAACACGCGATCTTGAAGAGGCCAAGGTTGTTTCCAAACCAAAAGATCAGCCTCAATATAGATTTGACCTGAGTCCTATGAAAAAAAGAATCTATGAGCCTCTAAATCAGTGAAATTTCCTTAGTTAATGTAAAGCACTGTTATAAATTGAAAAACTACACAGAAAATACAAGAGGTATTTCATGACATTTTTGTGACATGAACCGAAACCGAAAAGAGAGCAGTATTTCAGGAATAGCAAAGAGACGTTCCATTCACATGCTGAATATGAATAACTGATCAGCTTAATTTCACAGCAAGGTGCTCATAAAGTCGTAAATATCATGCTTGCATAAATCGTAAAAATATATATATATATATATATATATATATATAAATTGAATCAAGAGTCGTATATAATAGCTATAAAAGAGCATTCCAGCTTTCGTATAGAAAGTTGGACGTTAACGATCTGTTTCTTCCATTCTAGCATCAAATCACATGCATGACAAACGTGATGTACATACAGTAATACCCAAAGCTGCAGCAACTGTTTACAATGATCTACCTGGTTCCAGCCGAACGGATTAGAAACTCAGAGGTTAGTCCACCACTGCACATGCAACCAAATTTTCCTTTGTTAAATCAGCGTCGAATTCAAAATATTCTTTGTGGCCCCTACTCAACCATCTATACGATCAAATCTGCAAAAGAGCTGGAGGAATGTTTTTTTCTGCAGTGGTATATTTCCTGGAAATCATAACCTGAAGTCGTGTAAACGATGCTTTGCAAGCTTCGTACCAACCCAGCTAACGCAAGTTCAATTATTTTGACACTTTCAGGATTGTAGTAAGAAAGTATCACACAAGCCTGAAACCGTCGATGCTGCCGTGAGAGAAACTTCAAGTGCAGAGCAATACTAAGACTGATTCACCTAGTTGCAGACCCTGATCGATGACTTCATAGACTGCATGAGTACTAACAACTGACATAATTTACTGTAAATTAACACAGACATTAAGGAAGCATTAGTAATAAGCCTCAAAGTGATGTCAAGATGTATTGAAGTTTTTAAAACTGGAAAATTAGCCTGAAACCTCACTTGGAATTCTCACAGTTAATCTTTCCAGGAAGTTGAAGCAGTTGTGCCGTAGTTATTCGAAAAGGAAACGAAATAGAGACAACGAAGGAGAAACGCCCCACAGAGGCACAGTGAATGATTACACAGCACTGATCAAAACAGATTGAATTGCTTCAATACATAACAGCACTTAAATCATCATAAACCTGAAATTCTTGCAGCAAATGGGAGTTGAAAACTTCGAGCACCGCTGAACACACGTCCCAAGATGATCGGATCTACATTAACCTGCAAATCACATGTAAATTTGTTAAGGATTCAGCAAAGGTAACCAGTTTGGGTGATTGAGACAGCAAGAAAAAAGTCATACTTCTAGTGTTTTTCAATCACAACGGGGGAAGTTTCAGGTTTTCAGTACAAAATGGTGTGCAGCGCACAGCCACTTGCATGACAATAATTCCATTTACGTTTTTTTGGTCAATGACTATGGAATTCTTTAACATAACCAACCAAGAAAAGAGCAGATTGGAATGTTTGGCTCTTTTAAGAGGGTACAAAATTGAGGTACAGCATATTGCTTTTGTTACTACTCTGAATATATTAATGAATAAATAAACAATCAAAAACCAATTGCAGCCACAGGTACGAAATAAATGAGAGTTATCTTAGACGGTGGCATCGTGGTAGCTTAATACACGTCAGCAAGGTGCCATCACGTCTTGCACAATTTTGATCTCTTGAAAGTAATCAACGGTGTACAGCAGTCTAATCCAGCATGCTCCAACTTCATCTAATTTTGAGATATGGACTTCATGATTTCTCAGGCCACTGGTAAAAGGCGGGGAATACTGAAAACATCAACGGATTATTCTCCCGGGCTCTACCTGCTCAAACGCAGGGAAAGAATCGACTACACAGGTCTCGGAGCACCTGGATAATTCTCCTGTCAAGATCTCTATCAAAACTAATTGAGAAGGGCACAATTGAACCACCGCTGTAAAGCTTCAATATAAGAGCGAAATTGCAATGAAATTTGATGACCGCATATGCCTAGATCTTGTGCAATTTTTAAAATAGTGAAAATTTCATTCTATGAAACACAAGTAGATTACAGGACATTATTAAACGCAGTCGTGCTAGATGGTTACGAAGTTCTCATGTATGGCACTGCACACAGATAAGAACTGTGCACACGTTATGACTTGGTTATAAGACATTGCTTTTTACATGAACTAATAGAAAACTGGTATGCACAAGTTGCAAATGATGAATAATATTCTATCATGCCTTTAAGCTATTTTCTACTTAAACGAACCAGCAATATTCACCGCAAATGGATTGTTATCCTCATTTGCCGTTCATAGTTTGCAGTATTTTAAGAATCGGGCCCTAGCTAACAGGCTTCACAAAAGTATCGTGTTAAAGCTAGTGCGTGCGTGTGCGTCTATATACATACATATATGTATATGTATATATTTATATATGACACTCAGTGACGTATACTGGAATGCCAACTGTCTCAAAAATACAATATCCAATTTCATTTCTGTAGGATTTCTTTCATTGCCTTTCTCCTAGAAATACATAAAGCACAACTGAGCTTTGAAATACGTCCTACCAGCGTCACAAGTATAAATACTGAGCAGGGGCTACGTACAGACATTAATTTAAGCGTATCTGTGCATTCACTCGAAATGATAAGGCGAGAGAACTGAATTCAGACCCTGAAAGCTTCAATTCGAAATTCCTTAATGAATACGCTTGGCACCTCGAGTCCAAGCCCTCGAAACTTGCAGATCTCTAGGTATCTATTGTTTGACGTTCGCGTTCAACTAAGAAGGCAGTCCGTCGCATGCTTAAGCTCCTGCATGCGACTTGAGAGAAATGAAGCGACGGATAGATTGCACGGATATTCTGGAACAACTGAAAGTAATGCGATAAACAATTCAAGACTTCATGAGGTGCAGAGTTTGATTAAGTTAAGTTTACAGCACTAGTCAATGGTTTGGTTCTTCATGACCTTATCACATGAAACAAACATTCCTTTCTGCTAATTTGTTCTGAGTAAGGTATTAAGGTGCAATAACCTGACTGTGAGTCCTTTGAGCTGCAGGTCTTCCTTGCTGCCGGCAAACAGACTCCAGATAATTGCTCTGAAAACATTGGCGTTTAGCTTTACATCTAAACGATTGATCATCTGATTCTTTGCGTTGACTTTGGGATCCCTGGATCAATACCGAAGTCAGAGTACTGATATGGCTAACTTCCTTTCAATCTAGATGCCCTTGTTCTGGTTAGTCTAACTGGCTCCTGCAAACACATAACGACATATGCAGAGAATGTTTAAGATTTAAATTATGAAGTAAAAATCACACATTGAAGTTTCGTTTTACGTTCGTCCTGAAAAACTGACCTGATGTCAGCTCCTCTACGACCACACCATACACATCAGACAACCCATTCATTGTCATACCTTTTTGTGCACACGGCTACAAAGATGATCCGCTAGTTCGACGAAGAATTGGCTTGAGATGACGTTTGATGCGCATTGCTATTCTGCATGGCAATTAAGTAAATTTCCTGTGCGCGTCGCCTCCAATAAAAGAAAGCCGATCAGGTCATTTGTGTAGGTTTGAATTGTGTTCTCATCAGAACCAGATTATCTAGCAGCCGTAAGTTGGTTCTCACTTGTGCCGCATTATATGATACCATCATTGCACAAGTCTGTCTCTTGCAAGAAAATCGGTGAATTCGAAGACTTGAAAGTTCAACAGCCTCGAAACGCGTTTCCATAATGATCTCGACACGTAATGTAGGCTTGAGTTGCGTAGCAAAATAACACATCCGAGAAGGTAGCATGCAGCAAACCAAGCAGTGCACTGACCATTCATTCTCTGCGGCAGCTTTTTTCTGCAGTTGATCACGCACACGCTCTTGTGTAACCATCACAAAGGTTCCGGCGATGTGTTCACGTTACCCATCACCTTCATACTAGTCAGAAGTTTCTGTCTGCCAATTCTTATAACACATGTAACCTCCCACACCAACTCATTAGCACCAACTCCGTCATATGCTCACCACACTCCTCTCTCTCGCTCCCTCTCTCTCCCATCACAAAATCCATCACCAGACAGGAAAGAGAGAGCACCTGCGACAAGAGAGAGGCGTGACATGAAGAGAGTGAGCACACTTCAGCAAGTACGTCACCCTCGTACATGCTCAACTGTGCTCACTCTCTTCTGTCACTCCCACTCCCCCCGCCACACTTGACACTTTGTACTCACGCCTCACCTTACACATCCCACACATGCCAACCCGCCAGACCGCCCCCGCCCGTTCGCCCAACCCCAAACCCCGCCCCGCCCTCACGACAGGTCCGTGCAAAAGGATCCAACCCCCCCCCCCCCCCCTTCTCTCTCTTTGGCTTCCTTTCACCCCCCGCGCTCTCTCGCCCCCAACACCCGCGACTCACCTCCCTCTCACTTGCTGCTGCTACTATTAGTTATCCATGCTCCTACGGCTCTGGGACCGTATTCAGGCAACATACAGCAATTTCCGCATCAGATGCGCACGATGCCAGACTAAGTGGCAGGCAGGGAGGGAAGCAAGATGGGGTTGCAGTTCAACGCTGGAACTTCCGCTGTCGCAACGCGCAGGCTCTTCTCTTCCTTCTGTGCAAATTCTGAAACATCCCTGCTCTTCCTTCCTTCCCCCCTTGGCTCCCTAAATATGGAAGAGGGCAAGATGGTAACGCCCCATGCCTGGAGGGGGGGGGGCTTCCTTTTTATTCTCCCATGACCACCCTTCGTCATTACTTCCGTCCCCTTCCGTCGCATGCAAACGTGTAATACTGATGGGCAACTGGAGTCTGGTGTGCTTAAACTAGGACCCAGAGATGATGAAGGATGAATATCATCCATATAAAAATTGGGAGGTGAGGTGCTAATAGTGATGGGATGTTGAATTGGGACGTGGATTAGTATTCCTGGACCCCATATTCCGCTCTATCAGGGCTACTTTCCCCTAGATCGGTTCTTTCTCTAACATTCCCCCCACGTTCAAACTTTCCTTATTTTACTATTGTTTCCAGGTATATTTTATTGTTAATTTTGTCAGCCGTATCATGCTTTTATTAGATTTGGCAATCTACTTGGATCCTGCCAATTCCTGATCTTCTGAGCTCTGCATTCGTCCCACCCCCCTGCATCAGCTTGTTAAGCTGGCCTGTCTTGTCATCAATGGTGTGAGCCAAGGCTGCAATACCCTCACTGAATGTTTCTAATTCTGATCTGACCTCAAGTTTGGATGGTTGTGCAAAATAAGTATGTGAATCCCTCCTCTTTGTATTTTCATGAGATTTTGAAGTAATAAGTGTAAGTGAGGTGGGTTCTTGGATTCATGAGTTGTTCATAATTCAATGAATGTGGGAAACAAATCAGAAATCAAAATATAGATCAGTTCTTTCACAAATTAGTTCAGTTTGCAACAGCTCTAGCTTCTACAAACATGGGAGTTTTTGAAATGCTGGGAATTGCACTAGGAAGCAGGTTGGCTAAACTGAGTGATGCAGAGGGCAGCCTTCATGATGGTATTGAATGCTGGCAATTAACACAACATCAAGGCTCAGAAAAACAAAAACAAAACAAAACAATCAAAGAAGAAGAATGCCACAACAACCTAGAGGATCTCAAAGTTTAATACAAACTTCCTGAAAAAAATGGCACATTGAATGTTGCAAAACAAACCCTTTTCCTGAGGTTGTTTTTGAATCACACACAAACCAATTAGTGCTTTGCAGTTGTAGAAAGAGTGTGAGCCTTCAAAATGTCTGCCTGGTTATATTCACAAACATACAATATTCTATTCATGTCAATATAGAAAAAAGGATAACAAGATGATTTTCTGATTCCATCATTCTATGAGTAGATTGAGATCCAATTTTATTATGAAAAAAAAAAAAAGAAAAAAAAGGTGCAGGTTCTAGATGTTTAATTTGATAGTTGGAATTTGACCTGGCAGATTATTTGTAAACTTGGAGAGTGTGTTGGAAACATATTAAAAAATTCAATCATAGAAGTATACATAACTTCTGTGGTAGACAATAAAGATTGAAATAACGAATACTAATCATGTCCGAAAAAAGCAATATCATAGTTGAAGAACTGAGAAAATTGTAAGGATCCAGTCATTGAGAAACTGCTTCCAAACTACAAGTCAAGGTGGGTAAATATTTTTAGTCAATGTTCATTTAACTCAGGAATTTGGGCAGATTTTGTTTTGTTTTTGTTTATTTTTTTTATTTTTTTATTTTTTTTACTTACTTATCTTGATGGCCCAAGGATGATAAGAGTGGTCCAAGATTGACTAGAGTGGCCCAAGGAAAGACACTATATTTCAAACATACTGTTAGTTATAAAATAAACTAATGAGGAAAAATTAAACATATCAATCTCTCCACTATTTGGATTTAATCTCTCCACCTCATGCAAGGCAAGATTTCTCCTTGCCAAGCACACAAATCTTTCTAGCACATGTTATGTTCTTGGAAACTAGTAAAAAAACTCATCCTAGAAAGGGATGTGCCCAGACACGGTCTCATGGACGATCATCCACAAGACGGTATTTAAAGATAAACCTGAATCTAGGGGGCATTTCTATGGAAGTGCAAAAAAAATCCACATTATATTCATTTTCATTATTCAATAGGATAATACCCTAAGCTTTGATTTTTATTATTAAATAAATCTTCATGTTTTCACACTACTGTTCTGAAGCTACTTTCTCACAACTCATGGCTCAGTGAGTACCGTATATATGTAAAATACATACGACTCGTTTACAAGATCAATACGGACATGACCCACTTACAAACAGTAGTACATTCTCATGAGAATGAGAGGAACATATGTAGATACAAAAGAGTACCTACGGTGGTGGTGGTGCAGACCGTAGGATACGATGTCTGTCAACGGTGGTTAGCCAAGCAGGTGGGAGTGGCAACTTGGGGGAGACAGACGATCCAGAGGCCATGATTAAAGTACAAAATTCCAGCCTGACAGGCCAAGGAATATAAGTGTAGAAGCATCCAATTCCATTGAATTGAATTGGAGCCTTGATGCTCCCTAGAGCCTAAAATTGGCATTCAGTTACGATATGAGAGAGAATAGGGGGTAGGGAGAGTAGGAGTAGGCGTAGTAGTAAGGGGCTGTCTAGTTCAACAGGGCCAACCAGAGACAAGTAGTAGTGAGTGACTACGTCAGACTGAGATTGAGATCAGAGCCCCCCCCCCCCCCACTGTGTGCAGACAGACACAGCCAGGCTGCTCTCTCTCCCTTTGAAAATAAGTCAAAGCCTGGAAGACTAGGTCACTCTGCGTTCTCCACTGAATCAGCTCTTGGACTTGAGAGACAGAGAGAGAACGTTGCTGTGGTAGTGAATACTTGTAATCAGGCCTGATTATAATAGGCGCCCGACTAAATTACCTAAATTAGGCATCTTTGGAAAGTAAGTATAGGCAGTAGGCAAATTTAGGCAAGGTTCAATGCTAATAAATGAGCATTATTGACCAAATTTATTCAAGGTGATCTAGATCACTGTGAAGGATCACTTAGAATTAACAAGTGCCTCAATTTGGATGTATTGCTTTGCTTGCAATATGCCTTCAAATCCAAAGTCTAACAAACTCTTACAATATTCATTTTTTACCCACCTCAAGATAGAAAAGTCAAACTCTACTATACACAAGCTAGGGAGAGAGTTGCAATGTTACCACAAAACTTGACTAAGTCTAGAAAACGAACACTAAATAAGGTCTAAATATGGTTGAACAATGTCTTTTTGTTGCAAGCAACAAAGCTTATTCGTCAAATAAGTTCATTGGAATAGGTATAAAGAAGAATTTTATGTTCATTAGCAATCATGTTGATGTGTGTTGCATATTTAAAAGAGATACATCATAGCAACCATTCATGACATGTGTATATCCAAGCTCAAGATCATTGCATTGGTAAGCAATCTACTTGCTCCAAGATCTTCAATGAACCTCAAGAGCCTCAAATTCTTTCTTTTTCCTATAAGTTTAGAGTCATTAGGCCTTGAATCTTACAAAATGTCTTAGCATTGTACCTTGTAAAGTTGTCTATTACAAGCAAGTAAAGCCACCAAAACAAAAGCGGGGTACTTGTAAGCTCCTTCAACTGAATGTAAGCAAAGAACTCGGGTTGGTACTTCTTGAACTAAGTAGTAATCTTGTCTCTAGATAGCTAATAGTTTACAATATAAAGGAATGTTGTACCTATTTTTGTAATGTGATTTTGTTGTCGCATGAGGTACAAAATAAAAACCATAATAATAAAGAAGAAACGTTCCTTGACCACTATATTTATAATGAAATCTATTACTAGATCAAGTTGATGCAGTTTGTAGCACAAACAAATCAATTTGGAATTATCATGAAGAGCTTTCTAAAATTAAGTCAGAATACCAATGATCTAGTATCACGGACATATACATTTACCTCAATAGTTACTTATATGATTAAGTAGAAGTAGGTAAATATAGAATAATTTCATAAAGTCTTTTAGAGAAGCTTCCTAAAAGCTTTATAGAGGCAACTTTGACTTCAAATGTGTTTGTAGGTTAGAAACTTGGCCAAAAAACTAGCCATGTATTGATAGCTTGTGGAACAAGTTATGTCCGTGTAGTAGCTTGTGGAACAAGCTAATTACATGGTACATATATAGATAACTTGCTTTGTAAGATAAGACATGTGGTTAGCAAAGTCAACACATCTTAGAGGTCATATAGGACATCACCATGTAGCTCTTAGTTAGATAGTATATATGGAGACAAGAGTGAAGCCTTCTTCACTCTTGTCAATGCCTTTCTAGTCTTAGTCTTATTTTAAGACTTTCTAGTCTTCTTATTTTTGTCAATAGCCATTTTAGTTAATATTACATCACTTTTTGAATGACTTTATAGTTCTCTTTAATGATAGAAGAGTGTATTGAGGATTCTCTTTCTTCAAGATTCATGTCCTTGACAATTTCTCAAGAATGCTAACATATTGTTTCTGTCTTGTTTTAGAAGTGAGTGGATTACTCTACTTCTATTGTTGTATTTTTGAAGGTTGTAGACTACCCACCTTTAAACAAAAAATCTTGTTTTCTAACACTGATCTTTTCCTTAAAAAGAGTGGATTATCCCTCTTTATCGGATTTTTTTTAGAAGTTGAAGATTATCATCCTCTAATTTAACTTTTGAATTCATTTGAGTTATTTATGGAAGGAAAGATTATGGATGCTACTTTCAATG